ATAATGATCATCAGCCCAAGTAAGATTGGCTCAGGTGGAATAATTCAAGTGGAGTTGTGAAATTAACTGACTACCCACTTTGCTTTTAGTGTAGAAGGTCACAAAAAGCTGGGTCTTCTTTTCGAGTTGCCATCAAGCAGCACCTTTTGTAATCCTCACAACAAGAGATAATGGTTCCCTCTTAGCCACCCCAGTATTTGGAGATTGCTGTTAAACCCTTCACCCCTGGCTTTTGATGACAAAATGTCCACTTGTTCTTACTTTTAATGTTGAAACCATGCCCAAACTGGTCCTTCAACAAGGCCACAATGTTTGACACTTCTTGGCAGGTGGTTCACATGTCCAGCTGTGAGTCTGACAAGTCACCAAGCAAGAAGCCATTGAATGATTTATTGAACAAATCAGTCCTGAGTTGAAGCCTCTGCAATCTGAAGCTCATCTCAAAACTGCTGAGTTTGTGTTTTCCTATTTCGAAATGTTCATCTTATTAAGGTCAAATGAAACTACAGCAAAAAGCCAGACAGGCAGAAATAATTTTTTGCTTATCTGTTTGCATTGCTGCCAAACATTTCTGCCAAGCATTAATTATGTATCACTTATTACCATTTACTTTCTTTGTCACATTGTACTTTCAAAGCAATATTGCACATTTGCTGACCAACCATGGAATAACGAGATCAGACACAGAAAGCTGGCTTGAATAAGAAACACTTTATCTAACATAAAACCTATTTAAGAGAAAAAAACCTGGAGAGGAACAAGAAAGGGGAAGCAACCTAGTTTGGGGTCAGTTGATGTCAGATATCACTCCTTGACTTCTTCCTTAGTCTTATGGATGAAACCCCTGAGCCCTGAGGGTAATCCACTAGCTGAGTTGCTCCCCATTTGGCCATCTATTGGAAGGTAAATCTGAGGAACCCCACCCAAGTCATAAGACCTAAAGTGAGGGCCAAGCCCCCAGGCCAGACCAAGGGTACTCTCCATCCCCTCCCCAGACCAGAAGAGCTAAACACTAAAAAGATGACAAGGTGATCACCAAATTTGTTATTTTTCTTCCCCAATTACCTGCCATAGACAAGGGAAAAGTGTCTGCTTAGTCCCTTTCTCTGCCATGCTGGCCAAAAAGACCTTCACCTCTTGTTGCAAGTCCCCAAGGAACAACATATTACCCTTCTTGGACAAATGCACACCACCCACTCTGTTAAGCTCAGGGCACTGGATATTGGGGTGTGGGAAGAAGTGGTCCAACCCCATGTTTAGACCATTA